GCGCTCTAGCGCTGCACGGCAAAAACGCATAAAAATCGGTACAGAGGCCCTGCGCACACACAGACAGACAACCTCTTGTCAATGTGTGTTTCCCGCACTGCACTGCTGCACAAAACGCATAATAATTGGCCAACGCACGGGCTGCCCGTGCGAAGATGCGTTTTTTGCATAGCTCCTCGCAGATTTTTATCACTAACGGCACTGTTTTTTCCGGCAGATGCATCTAGACAAAAGAACTGCAGACTGGCCGCCAGGACTGTTAGGAAACAATCCTTCAAAATTACAGTCTTCTAACTTTTCAGGTTCCCCAGTTAGCGATTTAGCCGAAAAAAAACTTCACGGGCCCGCACGTGGGTACACCGCACCACATACCCGTGGGCTGGGTTTGAACTCATTAATACCTATTTGGGCGGGGAACATCCCCTTAAAATCCCAGTCTTCTAGCTCCTCCGGTTCCCGAGTTATCAACTTATCCGAAAAAAAATTTCAGGGCCCGTATGTAGGTGCCACATATGCCTAGAGGCTGGGTTTAAGCTCATTAATACCCACTTGGATGGGAACGTCGCCTTAAAATTTCAGTCCTCTGGCTTCTCAGGCTCCCGAGTTAGCAACGTGCCCGAAGAAAATTTTGGCGGGCCCGTAAATGAGTGCCTGCATACCCGGAGTCTGGGTTTGAGTTCAATGAGACTTAGGTGGACAGGGAATATCCTCTTAAAATTACGGTCTTCTAGCTTTTCAAATTCTCAAGTTAGCAACTTGCCCAAAAGAAACTTTGGCGAGCCCGTACGTGGTCACCACGCATACCCTAAGGCTATTTTTCAGCTCATTTAGATTTACGCGGACAGGAAACATTGCCGTAAAATTATAGCTTTCTAACTTTTCAATTTCCCGAGTTAGCGACCTACCCGAAAAAAACTTGGCAGGCCTATGCGTGGGTACCGTGGGTACCACGCATGGGCCCGCCAAAGTCTACCACGCATACCCGGGGACAGGGTTTGAACTCATTAAGCACGTGGACGGAGAAGGTCCCTTAAAATTTCAGCTTCCTAGTTTTTCTGGTTCACGAGTTAACGACTTACCCGCAAAAAACTTTCACGGGCCCGCACATGGGTACCACGCAGGTAAGACCGCCCATTTTGGGGGCGGGGGCCCGTACATACACGTAGATTAAGTTCCCGAAGTTTCAGTTCTGTAGCTTTTGTAAGTTTCGAGATGAAAAATCGGTACAGAACCCGTCTTGTGGAGGAGGAACTGCTTTGTCGGTTCCTCAGGTCGCTTTGCCCCACAACAAATAATTAATTGTATTTCTGGTTCGTGTCCTCAATTATCTCCAGTACGCACTAGTTGAGTAATTATACTGGCAGCAAATATTGCTAAATTCTTTCACTTCGGCAGCTAGTAGATAGCGTGAATACCACCAGGCGTTGATTCTTAGGTCAGCTAACGTTGTTCCGTCGTACAGTATTAACCAACCGCAGACCCACTCGTTGTATCGTCGATTACCTCAAACTCAAAGTTGGGTAATATAACCTTTATTATATACATACAATATACGCGGCACAAACGAATACACGTAAAACGCAAGAATATGACACGCATTAGAAAATACTAGAAGGAAGGCAATGATGCCTGGTCATTTCGTCACGCGTAGTGCTGCCCATCCGTCGTCGTCGATCAACCGTCCTCCGTCGTCGAACCCGTTGGAATGATAAAAAAAAGAGAGGTAGGGGAGAGGATAAGCGCCGTCGTAACATCTGTCGGCCCAGCATCTTCCTTTGTTGAAAACTTAAGTCCATGAGGAGGACATGCCGCGCGGAAGGAACTGAAGCGGAAAAAATAAGTAAACATCCACATGTTTATCAAAAAGGAAGATAGCTAGAAAAATACAAATTTTATACAATTTATCGCAAATCGAGATTCAGCAGTCTCGATAGGCCGAGCGCACACACAGACAACCTCTCATCATTATGCATTTTCAGCATTGCATAGCTGCAAAAAATGCATAACGAGCGGGAGCATTGCGTGTGACCCTATATGTCAAATTATGAGACGCGAATGTTAATTTTACGTTTGCGGAACAGTGAATGACTGGGATTATAAACAAATCTTATAGCCTGACTAGTTGCGGAGTTAGAACCCAAGTTGAAACGCACCACGCTTGTCGGTGCGATAATGCATTTTTGCACCAGACTTGAAGTACTCAGGTCATTAACTGCATAAATGATTGTTACTTTACACCTACCTTTTGTGCTCACTAGCATAACTCACCATAAATTTTGCATAAATACAATATTTCCATTTAACGGCCGCTCTTTGAAAGTAACCTAGCTGTTCAGTGAGCAATTTTCCCGACAAAACTTTTAAGTGTCCATACGTGAGATTCACACATAACTGAAGGCTGAATTTGGAATGTTTAAAATGTATTTGGACAGAGAACACTCCCTAAAATTTCAGCTTCGTAGCTTGCCTGCTTCCCGAGTTAGTAATTTTTCCGCCAAAACTTTCACATGCCCGTACGCAGGTACCCCAGGTACTTGAGAAACTGAATTTGAAATTTTTAAATTGTACGTGGACAGGGAACATCCCCCTGAAATTTCAGCCTTCCAGCTTTTCTGGCTGCCGAGTTAGTAATTTTCCCGCCAAACATTTCACGCACTCGTACGTGAGAACTACGCACACATGAAGGCTGAATTTGAAATATTTAATTTGTACTTAGATAGGGAACATTCCCCCAAAATTTCAGCTTCTATCTTTTCTGGTTTCCGAGTTAGTAATTCTCTCGCCAAAACTTTCAGATGCTCTTACTTGAGTACCACGCACACCTTGAGGCTGAATTTGAAATCTTTAGCTCACACATGCACAGAGAATATCTCTGCGAAGTTTCAGCCCCTTATCTTGTCTGGTTCCCGAGATCGCTTTCCTGTCAAAAAATTTGCATATTTTTTTAAGACATCCGTACGCGGCACCTAGGCGTAGGCGGATGATAACACTAAAACGGAAGGGTCGCGCAAAGTATGGGCACATACTTCCAAAGTTTCAACCTTCTAGCTTTTCTGGTTCTCGAGTTGAAAGTAGGTAACAAAAAGTGTGAAGACACGCACACACAGCCTTTTGCCAATATGCGTTTTTGCTGTGCAGCGCTATAAGAGGGCCATAGCACTGCTACAGCCAGCAAAAACGCATATTATCAAGAGGCTCTCTGTGTGTGTGTTCGGAAAGAGAGTGCATTTTGTCACCCACTTTCATCTCAGCAATCAGGGAAGCTGGGAGGCTGAAACTTTGGATATATGTTCCTACCCCGTGTGTCATCCTCCTGTTTTAAGATCTTTCCCCATACGCGCCTAGACCCCACGTACGGAACCCCCAAAGAAATATGTTGACGAAAAAACGATTTCGCGAACCAGGCAACGTAACATTGCAGGGATATTCTCTATGCACGTGCGAGATAAAAATTTTGAACTCAGCTCTCTAGCTCCCCAACCACAGCCTCAAGCAGCTCCCCAACCCAAAAATCGTTAGCAACCCGGACCTGAACCGCAACTTTATATGCAAATGAACATGGATTTTTTGAAAAACGACCGTTCGAGCAATACTTCCGCTTTTTAGTGAATTGAAAATTTGCATTTTTTCAAAAAATCTGCATTTTTCATTTTTTCACAAAGCGAGCATTTACCGAAAAAACGACCGAACTTCATGCAAAAAAATCGGTAATCATGCACCTGGATGTCCGTGCGGCTCTATTACCTTCATCCCAACTGACGCCCTTCCTCCTACATGCCGGAAGGGGCCAAAGCACAGCCAGTATGACCCAAGTGTTAGGCTACAGCATAGGGATCATTCTTGCCAATAACGATTTGCGAGTTTAGTGCAAAAACGCATGATCGCACCGCAGAGCCTGGTGCGTTCCAGCCTGGGTTTTTTCAGACGGCAGGTGGGGCTGCTCCACGGTGAATGGCGGAAGTTTGAATGTAACAGGTGGAAGTGGGGGTGGTATGTGGCGGATTTCGTTCGAGACAGGGGAGGGGCTAGGATAGGTGGAAGTGTACTTCTGGGACTTCTCTATTTACGAAACTGAGCTTAAGTAAAGCTGAGAGCGAATAAGTCCCATGAAGTGGGCAAAACAGGGTAGAATGGATGCCTGTGGATGAAGTCAGCCTTTGCTTTTGTAAGATTTTGAAGACAAAGGTATAACTGTTGTGCACAGTTGCAGGCTGCAAGAAGCAACACTGTGGAATTGTCTGCAATTCTTGTGTAATCCAATTGGACTGATTTGCCCTCAGCTTCACCTAAACATAAACTTCAGTATATCCCGTCGAAATTATTTGCCCTCAGCTTCACCTAAGCATTAGTTTCAGTAAATGAATTCCTTTTATTCACAAATTCAGTT